CACACACACACACACACACAAAATCTTGGGGTAGAAGAGATAGTTCAGTGGGTAGGCATTAGCCTTGCAGGGCAGAGCCAGGAGTAACAGGAGTAACCCCTGAGCATTGTTGAGTGTGCACTCCCACCAAAAAAAAAAAAAAAAAAAAAAAAAAGAAAAGAAAAAACAACTCCCCAAATAGCAAGAAAAACTTCAAACTTCCCTAAGACTAAATGCAGAGTGGAAGGAGGAGCTGGTACTGCAGCCCTCAGATCCAGAACCACAGATGCACTGTTCTGCCTTCTGCCTTCTGGGCATGGTTTCAGGAAGCCTCAAGCGGGGTCCCGAATTCTCACTCCCCACTAGAGGACAGTCATCCTCGACAAGTACAGCCAGCTGTCACTGCATCGCCTGACTCACTGCTAACCACCACACAGGCCCCAAATGGGACTTTCCATCCTGAGTCATCCCCTTCTAAGGAGGGGGTGGCTGACATCTCTGAGTTTTGGGTTTTCTGTTGTTGTTGTTTTGGGGCCACACCCAATGATACTCAGGGGTTACTCCTGGCTCTGCCCTCAGGGATCACACCTGGTAGTGTTTGGGGTACCCAAGGATTGAACCCAGGTTGTCCTCATGCAGGGCAAATGCCCTACCTGCTGTACTATAACTCTGGCCCCAATATATCTCAAAGTGTTAAATGGCTTTAAATTGTTTTTTTCCCTCTCTATTTTTTTAAATTATTTTAGATTTTGATAGCAGTCAATTTATTGCAGGGGGAGAGTGGAAATCTAATTTCCACTGGATTCAAACTCCAGCCCTCCGCATACCAGTTATGTGCTTCTGCCCTTCAAGTTGTGTGTCTCCAGCCTCAGAAGTGAATTCTTAAACACCAAAACCAGTACCACACAAATCTGAAGGCAGACATCAGGTGCTGAGCCAAGGACTCCATTCCCATCGTCTTTTCTCAGCTCATGTGGTGCCCCCAGGTGGCAACACTGCCAAACACAAGGTCACACGGGCCCCTGGATTTGTGGAACCAGAACTTCAAAGGTCTTCATCACGGCATTCCAGCTCTGCCATGACTGTCCCCTGTGAGTTGCTTTTTCTTTCCTTTCCTTCCCTTTCTGTCTTCTCTTCTTTCCTTCTGACCACAGGAGTCTTCATTACTTCAATTTTTCCTCACATGGATATTTTTACGTGAATCTCTTTCAAATTCAAATAACAAGAATTCGGGAAAGAAAGATGGCGGCCGCACGGGAGCCTTGTGGACAGCAGGTTTGAGCCGGGGGTGGGGGCGGCAGGGACCTCATGGGAAGGGGGGCGTTCTGGGCCGTCCTTCACGCCCAACCGAGGTCACCAGCTGCCCCCCACGAGCGGCTCTCCAGCATGGCCACGACTCCAGAGCACAGAAACCAATCTCTTAACTATCTAACTTTTAATAGATATACTTCCAGGGTTAATAAGTAAAATAGAAATCTAAAACCGCGCAGCCGCTACTACGGCCGCGAGACATCATTTTATTCTAAAACCCAGCTGTAGAAAGCAAATCATTTTACAACGCTGTTTCAGCATATCTGATTGGGGGGAGGGGTCGTAAACTCTAAGCAATAATTGTGCATCTTGACCACAACACCCAAAAGGAGAGAGAGAACACAGGGGATTGCCCTGCCACAGAGACAGGGGGGATGGGGGGATGGTGGTGGGAGGGATATTATCCATGGTGGTGGAAAATGGGCACTGGTGGAGGGATGGGTATCTGATCATTGTATAATTGAAACCAAAGCACAAAAAATTGTAAATCTACAACTTTAAAAAAAATAAAATAAAATAAAGGGGAAAAAAAAATAATTGTGCATCTTCTATCGAAACAATGTATCTAGTCAAAGTAGATAGAGTATTAACTAGAACTCATCTGCCTCACAGGAATTGGGAGGGGTGGGAGGTGGGGTTCTATTGGGGTTCGCGGTTAAAAATAAGTATTGGTAAAGGGAAATGTGTTTGATATTTACATGACTGAGACCTAAACCTGAAAGCTCTGTAACTTTTCCCACAGTGATTCAATAAAGAAATAAATTATTAAAAAAAATAATAATAAATAAATAAAAATATTGGTGCTGGAAAAAAAAAAAGAAAAGATATGTAGGCCTCACTTCTGATTTAATTGTTTATATATCAGCATTTTAAAATGCTTTCTGGTTTATTTAACACTCAGTCACCGTCAAAAGCTACAGTTGTAAAATAAAAATTGGCTGAAGATTAGGGACCCCAAGCTTCTAGTCATAGTTTTGTTGTATTTCAGGGTATGTGACCATGAGCAATTTATTTGATCTCTCAGGACCTTTGTTTTCTTATTAATACAATTTTTAAAAGTGGACAATATAAAGAAAAAACAAAACAAATAACAAGAATTCAACCATAAGATACAACTGTACTTGTGAGATCTATGCCGGGCTGGAGACCCGGCCTGACACTCAGAGAGCCAACCAGGGGGTCCAAGGGGGAACATGCTAATGCAAAAGGAGATGTGACAGCACCAGGGCCAGTGAACCTTGACTCCGAGCAAGGAAGAAGGGCTGTTTACGGAAGATGTCTGGAGACCGTGGTAGTTAAGCTGTGACCAGAAAGGATGGAGGATGAAGAACTGGGTGGGAGTCCAGGCAGAGGAAAGGTGGCCACCAAGTTAGCACCCGTGACATCTGGGGGAGAAGTGGAACAGTGCCAAGGCAGGCCCGCGGCCCTTGAGATCATATTAAGACCCCGCGTAAAACCACAATTCTCTCACTGCTGAGAATGGAAGAGGAATGGGCAGAGGGCGCAGAAAAACAGCTCACTGTGAGAGTGGGCATCCCCACCACCTGCGCTTGAGATTCTCTTGTCTGTTTTGGCCTTCCTTTAACTCACAGGAGAGAGAAGGACCCGCGGTTTCAGAGGAAGAACCTCATTTCCCCACATGCCCTCTATCAGAAGGGAAAAGATGAGCAAGAAAGAACTTCTGCTGGACCAGAGCGATAGTACAGCAGGTAGAGCATTTGCCTTGCAGACGGCGGAGCCAGGGTTGATCCCTGGCATCCCACATGGTCCCCAAGCACTACATAACCAGAAGGAAACCTTGAGCAGTGCCGGATGTGGCCCAAAAAGAAAAGAAAAAAAGAAAAAAGAAGAGAGAAGAAAAGAAAAGAAAAGAAAAGAAAAGAAAAGAAAAGAAAAGAAAAGAAAAAAGAATTTTTTCAGCCCCTTCAGCAGCAGTGTCTTACTTTCCACTTGCCATTATTCTTAGATCATGGTTCAGATGGCAGGGCCACAGGAACTATGAAGTGACACTGAGTCCCTCGGGCTTGAGGAGCGAAGGTATGGAGGCCAAGTTTCTGGTAATGAAAGCCACCCGGGTACCACAGTAAGCATGGCACGTGAACTGACTGGCACAAAGTGACAACGCCTCTGAGCTGTGAGGTCGTTACCCCACATGGTGAGACGGCTCCTCATGGACTGGTCTGTGGCTAGTTACACCGGGAGTGTAGTTGCCAATCTGGGACCAAGCCACCATTCTAAGCCACTCAACGCCAAGTCACCAGCCTGGGTCCTGACTGCAGCTCAGTATAGACCATCACACCCTGGGTTCCAGAGGGCAGAGATCCCGTCTGTCCCCTACCCCCCACCACCGAACAGCTTGCCTGTGCAAGCCAGACAGCTCTGGGATCTAACGGTGCCTGCTTCTGCAGAAGATGAGTCTGACGGGCAAGGAAACAATGGATGCCCCCACATCCCGGCCCGGAGTGGACATCTGGGACATTAATCAGCACAATATTCTTCTTTTTCCTTCTTCCCCACTTTAAATAACATAAAGGTGAAATTGGGGTTCAGTTTAAAAATCAAGGCACAGACTGGGGTGGTAGTACAGAGGGTAGGGTGTTTGCCTTGCACACTGCAGACCTGGGTTCCATCCCCAGCATCCCATATGGTCCCCCAAGCACCACCAGGAGTAATTTCTGAATGCAGAGCCAGGAGTAACCCCTAAGCATCACTGTATGTGACTCAAAAAGCAAAAATAAATAAATAAAAACCAAGGCAAATAACAAAGCTCTAAGCAAGCCAAAGGATCCTTAAAAATTAATAGAAATCAAGGCAAGGAAAAAAAATCACTAGTAATGTTCAGTATTTGGGTCATTGAAATTTTAGTTAATTTAGCCAGTGCCTTATTTCGTCCAGGATAGTAAGAACAATCTAGTTTGGTGACCCTTGGCCTTTGCACACCTGCAGGCCAGGATCTGCCCTGCTCACCAAATCAAGGTGGCAGACCAGTGGCTTTCTCCCTTTCTACACCCACAGAATTTGGTACCAGTCTGTGGAGTGGTGGTTGAAGCGTGCTGGTTGAACTGATCAAGTGCAGGGCTTGGTTCCTGCCAAGCACCTGGAGCTGCTGTTGCCCCAAGTTAAGTGAGTCCCTGCTGCTACTACCGTGAGGATGGAAGAGTCCAGCCTCTAAAAGGTGAGAGATTTGGGGCCGAAGAAATAGTCCAGTCGGGAGGGCACTTTCCTTGCACGTGGCCGACCAGGGTTAAATCCCCAGAATCCTCTGTGGTCCCCTAAGCAGAGGCAGGAGTATGTCCTGAGCAAAGCCAAGTGTGGCTCAAAAACAAAACAAAACAAAAAATGGAAATGAGGGACCTGAGCAATAGTACAGTGGGGAGGGCATTTGCCTTGCATGCAGCCCACTCAGGTTCGATCCCTAGCATCCCATATGGTCTCCTGAGCACTGCCAGGAGGCATTGCTGAGTGCAGAGCCAGAAATAATTACTGAGTATTGTCAGGGATGGCCCAAAGAAAAGCCAAAAACAAATAAAAATTAATTTGAATTAAAAATTAAAATAAAGATATAACGAAAGGGCAGAGAGCATGAAGGCTGTCTCATCTGTGCTGCTGTCACAGCGTGGAGGGACCCCTGGCCGGGGACACCATGAAGAGCTGAAAGGGGAAGGGAGCAGGTGGGGGCACCACCACATGGCAGTTGACGATCTACTTACCCCCGCCACAGGCTTGGAAGAAGAAGAGCTTGGGCTTCCCTCCCAAGCTGGGGCAGCCAGCTCCGTTGAAGATGTTCACGATTCTCTCCACAGACAAAGAACACCCATCTGTACCGTAGACAGCCCCCGGGAACTGGCGGTGGCTAGCCTAGGAGATGGAGAGTCCCGGTTACAAAACCCAGGGGCCGGGGCCGGGAGAAAGAGCTTAGTGGCTGAGAACGCCTGCTCTACCCACAAGTGGTCACAGGCACCACACCCACGGGGCCCTGCCTGTACCCAGCATAGTGACCCACACAGCTCTGCCATCTGAATCCTCCAGCTCTGCCCAGGGCTGCCAACCCAAGAGCTGCCCATGATTCCCGACCACACGACAGCCGGGTGCGTGCAAGCATGATTGAGGGGCACCACAGAAACCTGTGAGCCCAAGGCAGCCAGGAGAGCCTCACCGCAGCCTGATGACATGGTGGGTCCAGCGAGCAACCCGGCCTCCCCAGAGATGGCAAACAACACCAATAATGAAGGGGGGAGAGAGAGCAGGGGGACTTAAAAGTCAACAACAGGACCGGAGCAATATTACAGTGGAGAGAGAGTTTCCTTGGCACTCGACTGACATGGGTTCTATCTCCGGCATCCCATACGGTTCCCTGAGCACTACCAGGAGTAATTCCTGAATGCAGAGCCAGGAGGAACCCCTGAGCATCGCCGAATATGACCCCAAAAGACAAAAAAAAATAATAACAATAAATAAATAAAAAATCAACAACAAAGGGGGGCTGGAGCAATAGCACAGCAGGTAGGGCATTTGCCTTGCACGCGGCCGACCCAGGTTTGATTCCCAACATCCCATATGGTCCCCCAAACACCGCCAGGAGTGATTCTTGAATACAAAGCCAGAAGTAACCCCTGAGCATCGCTGGGTGTGACCCAAAAGGCAAAAAAAAAAAATCAACAACAAGGACAGAGAGGGCTGGAGCGATAGCACAGCGGGTAGGGCATTTGCCTTGCACGCAGCCAACATGGCCGACCCGAGTTCGATTCCTCCGCCCCTCTCGGAGAGCCCGGCAAGCTACCGAGAGTATTTGATATGCCAGACACAGTAACAACAAAGTCTCCAATGGAGACATTACTGGGCCCGCTCGAGCAAATCGATGATCAACGGGAGGGCCTTTACTTTACTTTACTTTACTTTAAGGACAGAGAGGGCATGACAGGCAGGGCGCTTTGCCATGCTCACGGCCAACTCAAGTTTGATTCCTGGCATCACATACGGTCCCCCAAGAATGGTCAGGAGGTGACCCCTGAGCACAAAGCCAGGAGTGACCCCTGAGATCAGCTGGGTGTGACTCAAAACAATAAAACAAACATGAAAACCATCAACAAGTCGGGGTAGGAGTCCAAAGGACTTTTGTGGGGCTTTGTGGGGGGCCTGAAGCAAGAAGCCTATGTGGGCAGAAAAGGGTGAGGGGGTGGTCTGCATTAACCCTGTTTGGGTCTCAGCTTGCACAAGCCTCCAGGCTGAGGGAGATGTATAGCCAGTAGGGCTTCCTCAGTGGCTGCCAAAGAGCGGCTCCTAGACTAGCAGCAGCAGCAGGAACTGAGAACTTACAAAACGTGCAAATTCCTCACTTCCCCACCCCAGAGACCTCCTAAATCAGGGATCTGGAGATGGGGGACCAGCAAGCTCCTCCTTCGCGTGCCTGGTGCAGCAAAACACTGAGAACACACTGCTCAAACTCAGAGCTCCCTAAAGTGCGGGAAAATCATGGTGTGTGTGTGTGGGGGGGAGAACTGGATAAATGGAAGGGGGAGAGTTAGAAGCTGAGGTGCAGGTAGAAGGCACTTTGATCACTTAAAGAAGGTAGATTCCAGGCGGGTGGGGCAGGGGCAACTCTGAGTCTTTTTTTTTTTTCTGGAAGGATGTTAGGAAGAATGAGTGCAGGCACCTCTGTAGACACTTGATGATTTGGGGATCCTGTTCGGGGTCAGGTTCTGAATGGAAGATTCTGGGGTGGGGTCTGAGTCTTGATTTTCCCACCAGACAGGAGTGGCCTGTGCTGCCTGTCCAGGACACAGTTGCAGTCCCTGCCCTGTGACCATGCAGAGCTGCACTCTTGGAGGGTACTGTCTGGATGCCCGGGCCTTGGTGGCTAGAAACCCACTTCCGGTGTGCGAACTGCCAGTATGAAAGGTACTGCACAAGCCACGGGGCGTTCCAGTCCCTTCAGTGGGTTGCTTCAACCTGCCTAAGCCCTCAATTTAAAAGATGAGGGAACTGTGGGCAAGAGAGATAGCACAGTGGGTCGGGATAAATGTCTTGAACACAGCAAACTTGGGTTCGATTCCCTGCATCCCATATGGTCCCCTGAGCTGCACCAGCAACAATTCCTGAGTGCAGAGCCAGGAGTAACCCCTGAGCATCACCCGGTACGACCCCAAAACTGGAAGAAGAAAAACAAAAAGATGGGGAAACTGAGGCACACAAAGGGAGAGGGACTTGAGGACCACATCACAGCCTATGAATGACCATGCCCTCTGTGGGTGCCAGGGCCTGCACCTGCAGTCAGCAGTCAGCGGCCAGGACCAACATGGGAGCTTGGAGTACTGGCCTGCTCTGAGCAGTTTGGCTGCCTCTACTTCTCCCGGCTGGCTCCTTTCAGGAACACCATCCTGCCCAAGTAGCAGCCAACTCCCCAGAAGACCAGATGGCCCCTGAGAAAACAATTGGAGGTGGACAGGGGGCTCCTCCAACAAAGCCCTGTGTTCATCCGCAGGAAGCAGCAGAGTCCCGCCCACCCTGCCAGGTACCACCCAGGCCCCAGACCGCTTACCTGGCAGCCGTGAGAGAGGATAGCCACCACGCAGCAGTCCAGAGCACGGTGATCACGCTGCGCCAGCTCCATCAACGCCTGCTCCATTTTCTGCAGATGAAATAGAATATGGACGGGTCAGGCCCCCACCCTCAATCGGCCCCAGACAGTGCAGCTTCCCTGCTCCCAGGGCCAGCATAGACTTCAGGATAGTCAATAGTGATCATAATTGTCCTTTTCTTTCCTGGAGGGTGGGGGCACACCCAAGCAGGGCTCAGGGGCCAAGCCACACACTGTGGAACCAAGTGTGTGGGCTTAGAGGTGCAGGGCTCAGGCCAGGGGTGCAGTGCTGCTACCCATTGGAGAACTGGGGGCCACCGGGACTTCTGCCGCAATACTCAGGGGGCCGCGGGGCCTTGAGTATTGAGCAGGAGAGCCATGCACTCCTTTGAGCTCCCTTCCCTGCCCAACTGCGACCATCTTTGGGGCAAAGGTGCCAAGCTCCAGCATAGTGCACTGAGCCCCATAACGACCCTCTGAGGCGAGCACTACTCTTATTGTCTATAGCCCAGCTTCTTAAACTGTGAGGGGACCCTTGGATGTCACCGCAGTGAAACATTTGTGATAGGAGTGATAGTACAGCAGAGAGGGCATTTGTCTTGGATGCAGTGAACCCAGGTTTGATCCTCGGCATCCCATATGGTCTCCTGAGCACCACCAGGAGTCATTCCTGAGTGCAGAGCCAGGATAACCCCTGAGCATCGCTGGGTGTGACCCAAAAAGCAAAGAAAAAAATATATATTTGTAGTCAGTCAGGGCCGGAGCAATAGTACAGGAGGTAAGGCACCTGCCTTGCACATAGCCCAGTTGGGTTTGATCCCCAGCATCCCATATGCTCCTCCGAGCCAAACAGGAATGATACCTGAGTACAGAACCAGGAATAACCCCTGAGCACTGCCAGGTGTGGTTAAGAAAGAAAAATTGTTGGGGGCTGAGAAACACCAGTTCCCAGTGCAGAATTCACCGGCGGGAGCAGCCAGCTTCAAAATACAGCACCCAGGGGCCAAAGTGATAGTACAGTGTATGGGGTATTTGCCGTGTACACCGCAGACCTGCATTTAATCCCTGGCACCACATATGGTCCTCTGGGTCTTGCCAGGAGTGATCCCTATGCATAGATCCCAGACTAAAAGAAAAAGATTTGTACAGCGGGTACAGCACTTACCTCGCATGCACGTGCAATCAATCCCCAGCATCCCATATGGTCCCCGAGACACAACTAGGAATAATTCCTTAGTTGCAGGGCTAGTAATTACCCCTGAACATCACCAGGTATGGGATCCCTCCCCCCACAAACAAAGATATATTTGTTGTCAGTAAATGCTTGGTTCCTTTATCTATTTATAGCCTAAAGGTTATAACTTAATTTCTTGAATGAAAAGGGGTTCCAAGTGGCAAAAAAAGATTCAAGAGCCCTTTTTGGGGAGGACTCAGGAGTCCCCAGGGGCAGAGGGCGAGCCAGTCTTCCCCCTGAGCTCTCGGAGGTTGAACTTGAACCTGAGAACCACGCAACCCATTGGCTCCCACGCTTCCAAACACCTGAGGGCTTATCTTGGGGCTGCGCTTTGCTCCCAGGATCGCTGACAGGACACTGCCCCCACTCCCCCACCCACCGCCACTCTCCCAGGATGGGGTCGGGAGGGTACTGGGAGTGGAGGGCAAATCCTGGTTGACGGGTGGGGGAGGGGCAGGTCAGACCTTGGCTGTGAGGTCACACTTCACGTCCACTTGGAAATGCAGCCAGTTGAAGCGTCTGCGTAGCTTCTCACAGTCGATGTTGGAGCCAGAGCGGGGCTTGAGCCGGGACTCGGTGCGGAAGTTCACGTTGTTGATGATGAGGCAGTGGCCACATGGGTCTGCATTCAGGACGTAGACCTGTGAGAGCACAGAGGCCCAGAATCCCAGGCTCACTCTGCACTCCAGAGACAACTAAAATTTCTTGGCTTGCAGCTGAGCTCCTGCAGAGACAAGGCCTATCTCGAAGCCCTCTGCGGGGTGGGGCAGAGGCAGCAGATTGCAAGCCAGACCGGGCTAAGCACGAATTGTGCAGTGTAGAAATAGCTCAGCCTGCGCCGAAACACCAGCCCCCGGTGTGGTATTCACCCGCCGCCCAAGCGGCCACTTGCAAAATACAGCGCTCAGAGGCCAAGGCCTCAGTACAGTGGGGTAGGGTGTTTGCCTTGCATGCCGCCCACCAGGGTTCAATCCCTGGCACCCCCATAGGGTTCTCCAAGCTGTGTCAGGAGTGATCCCTGAGCACAGAGCCAGGAGTGAGCCCTGAGCACCACAAGGTGTGGCCAAAAAAGCATCCAGAGACTTTCACCCCAGAGGACCTTCCAGGTCATCAGATGAGGCGCGCTCTCTCTGGAACGCCTGGGAGCTATGTGTATTCCGTTGTCACATTCACATCCAGGCCTCGCACAGAGCATCTGTTTCCCTGCTAACTTTCCCTGCAGCCTCTGCTTCATGGTACTTCACACTACACCCATAGGCCAGCATTTCACTGTAACAAGCCTCTGTGAGACCGAGTGACCTGCTCCCTGCTGTCTCAGTTCAGACCCCAGGGCTGGCACACCTTGGCACTTAGGGGCTGTCACTGAGAGTGAGCATCTCAGCCCGCTGATTCTGAGGCCCACCTCCATGGGGCCTGACCCTGAATCTGGACATGGAAAAGGAAGGGTGGGGCCAAAGCCTCCAGCAAGAGTCAGGCAGCTACTGAGCCTGGGACTCGGCATAGCTGCAGGGAAGGACATGGGAAGTGGAGAGCGGAAGGGGCTGAAGTTCACACATCTGCCCCAAGTAGCAGGAAACTCACCAAATTGGCATCTCCCCTTGATTTCTCAGGCACACCTGGGGAGAGAGAGAAATATATAAATGTCAGGAGTGGGGGATAAGAGCTCAAAAGGGGGGACAGGAAAGAATGTACAGCAGGTAACGCTCTTTCTTGCCTTATATACAGCCAACCTGAGTTTGACCCCTGGCACCATGTACAGTCCTCCAAGCTCCTCCAGGAATGAGCCCAGAGTCAGGAGTAAGACCCGAGCACTGCCAGGTGTTGATCCCCAACTCAAAAAAAAAGAAAAGAAAAAGAACTCAGAGGCCAGAGCAATAGTACAGCAGGTAGGGAGCTTGCCTTGCACATGGCCAACCTGGGTTCAATCCCTAGCATCCCATATGGTTCTTCCCCTTGAGCCCACCAAGAATGATTCCTGAGTGCAGAGCCAGGAATAACCCCTGAGCACTGCCTATGGAAGCCCCAAACAAAATCTCAAAAGGATGAAGCATAAACATTGCATGCCTGAGGTCCTGGGTTCAGTGTCGGCACCACTAGAACCCCAATACCCTGTAGCACTTCATTGCAGGGTTCAATTATTGCCAGAAGGTGCCTCCCTGCTTCCCTGGGGCCCTGGCATGACAGGGGAGCACTGTAGCACTGTCCTGTAGCACTGTCCTCCCGTTGTTCATCGATTTGCCCGAGCGGGTCCAGTAACGTCTCCATTGTGAGACTTCTTATTACATGTTTGGCATATTTAATATATCACGGGGAGCTTGCCAGGCTTTGCCATGCGGGTGAGATACTCTCAGTAGCTTGCCAGGCTCTCCGAGAGGGGCAGAGGAATGGAACCCGGGTCAGCCGGGCCGGCCGCGTGCAAGGCAAATGCCCTACCACTGTGCTATCGCTCCAGCCCATGACAGGGGAGGCCCCTACATATATATTAAAAAGAAGAAGAAGTAGAAGAATATTGCCAGGGATGTGGTTCAATGGTAGAGCATATGCCTTGCATGTGTAAGGCCATAGTTCAATCCTCAGTAGCTACACACACACACACACACACACACACACACACAAAGAGCTTTTCAGTGGACTCTAGGAACACATTGCTACTAAATAAGGTCGTTTAGTCAGCAAGCTAAAAACAGACAAAACTATTCTAATTGGATAAGGGGTCAGCCAAGAAAACAAAGCAAAATGCTAACTGATATGGGCATTTGCTGGACCTCTGATTTTTCTTTTCCTTCCCCTCCTCTTCCTTTCGCTGCTGTTGCTCCAGCTGAGTGCTGAGCTCTGAGTAAATGAGCAGGTGCACACACGCACACATACATACATGCACATCAGGGTCCGACAGAGATGTGGCAAGAGGCTCTGTGAGGGAGGATTACTCCATAGCTTAGAGGCCAGCCGGGTATTCTAGGGGAAAGGGCAGTTCAGATAGAAAAGGGAACACCAAATGGAGGGTGTTTGGAGGATCCTCCCAGGAGGGGAGATGCAGGTTGAAAGTAGACTGGACTGAACGTGTTCACCACTCAATGCCTCTTTTGCTGATCACAACACCCAAAAGGAGAGAGAGAACAAAAGGGAATGCCCTGCCACAGTGGCAAGGGGGGATGGGGGGATGGGGGGGATGGGGGGGAGGGATATTATCCTGGTGGTGGAAAATGGGCACTGGTGGAGGAATGGGTATTTGATCATGTTATGACCAAAATCCAAGCACAAAAATTTGTAAATCTACAACTGTACCTCATGGTGTTTCACTAATAATAATAATAAAAAAAAAAGAGGCTCTGTGAGGACAGCTCTCATAAAACCATGAGCAAGAGCTCAGGAAGACTGCATTACTATGCAGCTAAGAGGCACAGCCACATTGAAGAACTGTTTGGAACTTACTAATAAAATCAAACACATACCTACCCTCCCATGGGAATTCTATTCCCAGGTAAATAACCAAGAGACATCAGCGGGGGGTTGGGGTGGGGGGGATCAACCATGAACAGTCACTGGACCATACTCATAATGGCTTCCCCATTAAAACAACCCAAATGTCTTTCAACAAGCTAACGAATGAATAAACTGCAATCCTGCCATACCAGGCAACACCACACAGACTACAACAGGAACAGAATACTTCTGACATGCCATGCCTAGATATCCTCAAAAATGTCTCGCCAAGAGAAAAAGCCCAAAGAGTCTCGGCAGTGTGAATCTGTCTATAGGAAATTCTAGACCAAGTAAGTGTCAGGGAAATTCCAGAGAGTAGCTGCTTCCTCTCAAAGGATGCCATGGGGCTGGCACACACCACATGCTCAGGAAATATTTATGGAAGCTATAAACAAGAAGGTGGTTCTAAAGAGTTTTCATTTCAATTAGCTAGAAGTCAACTGGCCCCCAGCTTGTAAGATTGTGGGAACAGTTTTCTTTGAAAGTAAGACTTTTATTTAGAAAGGCTGAAATAACTGTAGGCTAATTTGAATTGTGAGGCTGAACCCCCAAAAAGCGACTTGAAAGCTCCTTTTGATGTCTTCCAGGAACTAGACATTTATTACTCATGCCTTGTTCTTTCTTCAAACCACAAACTCAATCCAGTTGGATTTCCCCCCTCTCCCCCCATCATCCTTGGGCTCCAGCTAAGTGCTGAGCTCTCAGTAAATGAGTAGGTGCCAGCAGCAGTGCCCTTCACCAGGAAGCTTTTCAGTGAACTCTAGGAACACATCGCTTCTAAATAAGGTCGTTTAGTCAGCAAGCTAAAAACAGACAAAACTATTCTCATTGGTTAATGGGTCAGTCAAGAAAAACAAAGCAAATGCTAACTGCTAGGGGCATTTGCTGTACCCCTGGTTTTTCTTTTCCTTTTTCCCCTCCTCTTCCTTTTCACTGCTGTTGCTGTACCATTGTGGAGAAGTCCAGGATCACTTGGTGGTACTCACACACCACTTGGTGGCAGTGAGGCATCACATACACTGTGGTACTGGAATCACAATAGCAGTACCAGCAAGATCATACTCAGTAATGGGGTGGGTACCAGAGGCTAGACTCAAGGTCTCACACCTGCAAGCAGGCCTATCAGCTTGGGTCGTCTTTGTTTCTCCTTTTTTTAGCTAAAAAGAACAGTGACCCCCTCCAGGATATGTTGGTTCATGATCCCACACCATATGTCCATCATTGCTCAGAGTGGGGTTGGAGCCATCTTTTCAATGACTTCAGAACCACACCAAAAAAGTGTTCATGCCCCATTTCCCCCCCACTTTACTTAAACACCGTGGTTTACAAAGTTGTTCATGAAGATTTGTTACAGGCATTCAATATTCCGATACCAGTCTCACCACCACTGTCACCTTTCCTCCTCCATTGTCTTCATTTTCCCAACCACCCCTCAAGCCTGCCCCCATAGCAGGCCCACAATAATTTGTTTTATATTGTTAGTTACCATTAAATGGCTAAAAGAAGGATTTTTAAAAATATTTCCATAAAAACAAATTAGTGAAAAGTGTTATATCTCACCCTGGGGACATTAGGTCCTTGTCTGAGGTTTTACTGAGCTGTTGTTGCAAGTTAATGTGTTAATGTTTTTGTTAGTCAACATTGGTTGGCTTCTGTGTTTCATCACCACCCCCACATATAGTCCCTTCAACATGGCTAGTAGTGATACCTGAGTACCACCAAATGTGACCCAAAAACCAAATATATGTATATTTGGTGTGTATATCACTTGTATCATTTCACTTGTCATCTCGTTGTTCATTGATTTGCTCAAGCAGGCACCAGTAACATCTCCATTCGTCCCTGTCTCATGCTAACGTAACCCAATGGCATACTGGGGGCTCTTTCGGGGTCAGGGGAATGAGACCCATTATTGTTACTGTTGGTGTGTATATATGCTTCAAAAATCCCACTTATGTATACATTTGCACAAGGAAATAAGGATCTCAAAGAGATATCTATACCCTACATTGTCTATAACACTACTCATAAGCAAAACATGGAAATACCATGTCTACTAATGGATGAACAGATATTGAAAAAAACCCATATAATATATAATAAAATATGATCCAATCACAAGAAAGGAAACACTGATTACTATTATTTGCCCCTCCGATGTAAGATCCTACAGGGTAAAACTACTGCTATAAACAGGAAATAAAATAACTTACAAAAGAACAGGAAGCATCAAGTCAAGGCTTTTAAATGACTCAAGCAGACATTTTCCTGAACTGGACCAGATAACAAGACTTGAACTTTGTACTGTGTTCTCCTCCTTCGAGTAGTACAGCAATGAATGCTATGAACAATGCCAAAACCAGTTCTCCTCTCTCTCTCTCTCTCTCTCTCTCTTTCTCTCTCTCTCTTTTCTCTATTGTCTCTCTCTCCTCTCTCTCCCTCCCTCCCCACTCCCTTCTTTCTCTTTCCAATGCAGTGGCATTCCCAGGTTGGTTTTTGAGGAATCACTCCCGGCAAGATGCAGTGCCAGGTATTGAACCCGAGCCTCCTGAAGAAGAGAGCATCTTCTCCAGCCAGTTGAGCCATCTCTCTGGCCGTCCGGATCCATTTTCTTCCTTAGACCCTTATCATGTTGGTTTCTCTGCTTTAATGGGTTAACTTAAACATAAATATTCAGCACAGAAGACAAACACCACTTTTTGCCCATCACGTGGGGGGAAAATTAGTACATTCATTGTTAGCAAGAGTAAAGTTTAGTAAAGAGTAAAATGTAAAGCACATTCAATGCAAGTGCACTAGGTCTGTGAGCGATCTCCCGGTTGACCTTGTATTCTTTGAGGGAGGAAATGCCACCACTGAATTTTCAAAAGGCCTTCAAGATTTCCCCACCCAGAAAGACAACAACAAAATTAAAAGTTCTGGGGGCCAGAATTATAGCACAGTGGAAAGGATGCAGCCCACACGCAGCCTACCTGGGTTTGATCCCCAGCACCCCCGCTGACTCCCCGAGATTGCCAGATGTCACCCATGAGCAGAGCCAGAATTTAAAATTTAAATTTAAAATTCTAAATCTTGGGCCAGAGCAATATCACAGCGAATAGGTCTCTTGCCTTGTAGGTGAACAACCCAGATTCAATTTCTGGCACCCCAAACTGTCCTCTGAGCCTGCCAGGAATAATCCCCAAGCACAGAGCCAGGAGGAAGCCCTGGGCACAGCCTGGAGTGACCCCAAATAGAAAATAAAATAAAATAATTTTAAAATTCTGAATCTCTGTCACTGATCTATGGCTCAGAGAATGTGTCTTGCATATGTGAGACTCTGGGTTTGATCCTTGACAGTGAAGATTTAAAAAAAGGGGGGGGGGGGGCAAAAACTTGTATGTGATCAACTCTAGGTTCATATCCCACCACCCCTTCTGGTCCCTGGAGCCCCACTGGGAGTGGTCCCTGAATGCAGAGTCAGGAGTAAGTCCCGAGCACTGCTGGTGTGGCCCCAAAACAAGAAGAACAACAAAAAAACCCTGCTGACTCAGCCAGCCTGCCTGCACTCAGCAACACTGACCAAAGACTACCCTTTATGCCCACCTATCACTGAGTCACTCTCTCAGTACTCACGAGCATCACCGATTCCTCTAGGACCAACGTTCACTGGCCTGAGCACCTCAGACTTGAAGTTAATAGGTGCAAGCACACGAGGCCCAGGGTCCAGGGGTCGGATGGTCTCAAGATTCCTCACTGATGACTGGCGGATGGTTCTCAAGGAGGCAGCCAGATTGTTCTGGCCTGTGTCTTCCAGGCAGGAGATGAACAAAGGAAGGGCCTGACTCCCTCGGGTCTCCAGATCTGTGATCAGCTGTCTAGCTTGATCACGCCGAGAACCTGCCCGCTGTTTCAAAAGAAAGACATGATACTGTTACCCACACATTAGTATGGTTCACCTCATCCCTCCATCCCCCTATATAGCCTAAGTTAAAAAATAAAACTCAGATAGGATGACACGTCACTGAGATGCCTCCAGACTCTGTACCAGACTGTCTAATCCAGGGCAACCCAGAGGAGTGCGCGTGAGTTCCCTTCCCCTCCCCTCGCCTCCCCTCCCCACCCCTCCCCTCCCCACCCCAACAGAGCCCCAGCAGCCAAAAATCTCCAGAACTCAATCGCTGCCATGCTCACAGCCACTCCCCACAGGCTCGGATGAGGCTTACCCATGAATGAATGTGCTGTATAACCATATTTTAAATTTTAGAATTCCTGGAGTGTGTGACCATGTTCGTGGACACACAATATCTCATACTTTAGACTATTGATGTATCAAGAGTAGCACATCACATCTGATGCCGTTTAAAGTAGAAGGCAACCACCAGACCCTGTTCCAGGCTGTTTCATTCGGGGCAACCCAGAGTGGGGCAGGTGAGTTCCCCTCCCTGTCCCAAGGAACCAGTCCCAGCAGCTGAAATACTCCAGAATTCAACCATTGCCATGCTCACGGCCTCTTTCCACATGCTCAGGCTGAGCCTCACCCATGAGTGAACCTATTCCTGGGCCACATGGCCGCAAATGCGGCCACATGACACCTCATATCTCACACCACTCATATTCCATGAGTAGCATACCACATCTGATGGGGTTTAAAGTAGAAGACAACCAATATTAGAGGGAAATATACATTTACAGATATATATATGTACACAAGGCTCAATGTTTAACAACATGTTACTAAGCTCTTATAGAAGTTTAACGGCCCTTGGGTGAAATACAACAATCTTCACACCCTTTCCTCTAAGGTAACTTTTTTGGATCATTTTCAGCATTTTATTCATAACAAACAATACAAAATAAATTATTTCAGTTCTGCTTTGGGGCAGGGGTTAGTGTTCAGGATGGAAACATCTGAAATATGGTGGTGGGAAGGTATAATGGTGGTGGAATAGGTGCTCGAATATTAAATGTCATCAAATATTATACGGCAAAACCTGGCAAGCTCCCCGTAATGTATTCAATATGCCAAACACGGTAACAACAAGTCTCACAATGGAGACGTTACTGGCCCGCTCGAGCAAATCGATGAACAACGAGAGGACAGTGCTACAGTGCTACAAATAGTATGAACTACTTGATAAAAATGCACTGTAGCACTGTCCCCCCATTGTTCATCGATTTGCTCAAGCAGGCACCAGTAACATCTCACAACAATTTGTGAGACTTGTTGTTACTGTCTTTGGCGTATCAAATACGTCACGGGTAGCTTGCCAGGCTTTACCATGAGGGCAGGATACTCTCAGTAGCTTGCCAGGCTCTCCGAGAGGGGCAGAGGAATTGAACCCAGGTTGGCCATGTGCAAGGCAAATGTTTTACCCGCTGTACTATAGCTCGAGCCCTTATAAAAATAAAATAAAATAAATTTTTAAATAAAATAAAATAAAGTAGAAGGCAACCAATCTCAGGGGGGAAATACACACACACATACACACAACACACACAAGGCTCAGCCTTTAACAACATATTAGCATCTCTTATAGAATGGCTTAATGGCTCCAGGGTGAAATACAACAATCTTCACACACTTTCCTCTGAGGAAACTTTTTTGGATCATTTTCAGCAGATTATTAATATTAAGCAATACAAAATAAATGACTTTGGTTCTGTTTTGGAAGCAAGGTTTGGGGTTTGGAGTGGAACAATTCGAAATATGGTGGTGGGAAAGTGTAATGGTGGGATTGGTGCTTGAATATTCACGAATCATGACCATCCTGTTATTCGTCGATTGCCTCGAGCAGGCCCCAGTAACGTCTCCTTCATCCTAGCCCTGAGATTTTTAAGAAAGTGCTATATTCAAGGCTCTTTAGGAGAATGAGACCCATCATTGTTACTGGTATTTGGCATATTGGGTACGCCAGAGGGAGTTTGCCAGACTCTGCCATGTAATTAAATTAAATATTAAATGTCATCAAATATTACACGGCAAAGCCTGGGAAGCTCCCCGTAATGTATTCAATATGCCAAACACAGTAACAACAAGTCTCGCAATGAAGACGTTACTGGCCCGCTAGAGCAAATCGATGAACAACGGGAGGACAGTGCTACAGTGCTACAAACAAAAAGGTCTCATTTGTTGGACTTCAGTCCACCCCTAAACCCAGAATCAACATGGACAATAGATTGTGACACTGTGGGAATGGTTAAAGTTAACAGGTATAGGGGTGCTAGAGCTTGTTACTGAGACAGTGAACGGGGGGAATAGGGAGAGGATATTGGTTATCCATGGGTTACCCTTTTAAAACCAGCATCAGGCAAGTTTATCAGGATTCACAGCAATGAGACACCAACCTATCCTCAAGTATCTTATCAAAGTGCTACCCAAAGGGGCCAGAGTGATAGCACAACAAATAAAGCATTTGCCTTGTATGCAGCTGACCTAGGTTCAGTCCCCAGCATCCCATATGGTCCCCTAAGTCCTCCAGTGTGATCCTGAGTACAGAGCTAGAAATAAGCAAATAAGTCCAGATCACAACTGGATATAGCAAAAATTAAACAAAATAACAACAACAAGAAGAAAAACAACAAAACCAAACTAAACAATCCAAGAGACCTTCCCATGATGATGAAGTTTCATTTGGTGGGGTTGACAGGGAAGATAACTGGTGGTGCTAGGTGTTATTCCCAGCAGTGATGGGAGGTGGGGGACAGGGCAGGGGTGGGGGGCATGGGGAGATGGATGTGTTATGTGGTAACAGGGATCCAACCCAAGGCTCCAGTATACAAAGCCTGTGCTCCAGCCCTTTAAGTTATCTCTCCAGTACAGAAATATTCCTTTCCTTATTGCCAGTGTCCATTATGTGGCTATCAATCATGTGTGACTACCCAGTACTGGGGTAAACAATTGAGGAAGTGAATTCTTACAGTGCTTAATTTTAATTACCATAGATTTAGTTATCCCCTGTGGCTAATGGGTATCATGTTGATCAGCAAACACCTATAATGTCACTATGAAGATCATTTTAATGAGTGAAACAGTTACATGATGACTTCTCTGCAAGTAGATGATGGTGTCTTGATTTCTCTCCACACTGAACACTCATAGGAAGCTGGACCTTGTGTTAAACATATCATGTCATGGGGCTGGAGAGAGAGCACAGCGGGCAGGGTGTTTGCCTTGCATGCAGCTGACCCGGGTTCGATTCCCAGTATCCCATATGGTCCCCTGAGCACTGCCAGGAGTAACTCCTGAGTGCAGGAGTAACCCCTGTGCATTGCCAGGTGTAACCCAAAAAGCAAAAAAAAAAAATCATGTCATTTAAGCCCCCTCAAGAACCTTACGGGGCTAAGTGATGATTATTACCTCTTTCCAGATAAGGGTAACTGAGTCACAGAAAGGCGTTTTGACTTAGTCATATGAAACAAGGTCAGGCTGAGGGCTCAAATCCACCTAGTTCCAGATGGTTTTATTACCTTATAATAGTCATATGTTTACCAGGCAAGATAGCAGTCAACTGCTCATAAACATTCTTTGAAAATAGTGAATTTGGGTGGTTGCTAACATTTGAAATCAATGGATCTGAAAATTTTAAATATCAATTTTTTTATCTTTTAAAAATTTCAGAGTTCAATTTAATCCCTGGCACTGCATACGGTTCACTGAATATCCCTACAATTAATCCCTGAGTACAGAACTGGAATAAGCCCTGAGCACTTCCAGGTATGACACCAAGATCCAAAACAACAAAAAAATTCAAATGCGAATGATAGGGCAACACCAGTCAGCATTCCTGCCTGGGTACAACCATACACAGCTGGAGTTACGAGGCAAAGAGTGCCTTCTCTAGTGCCCACTCATTGGGCCTCCAACAGGCATTTGAGCTGTTAAAGCCTCTGTGAATGTTCCCTGCAGATAGAGGCATTTCCAGTCTTATGTGGCCACACAGCAGTTACTCAGAGTTCTTCTCTGATTAATACTCCTCGGTAAAGAGGAGTTTCCTTTCTTTACTTTTAGCTAAACAATCCAAGAGACTTTCCCATGATGATGAAGTTTCATTTGGTGGGGTTGACAGGGAACTGGGTGGTACACAAACTGGATATTAAGCCTGTGTTGAGCGCTCTCTCTCTTTCTCTCTCTCTCTCTCTCTCTCTCTCTCTCTCTCTCTCTCTCTCTCTCTCTCTCTCTCTCTCTCTCCATCCCTCCAGCAGATGTTTGGGGACCATGAAGTGTCAGGATCAAATCCTGGCTCCTGCATATAAAAGGATGAGCACTAGCCGTTGGCACCATCTCTCTGACCCTACATAAAAGTATTTAAAGAAAAAAAAAATTTTTTAAGTATTTAAAGAGAACTTCAAATAATGTATTTAATTCTCTCACTACTAGGCATCTCCAAAAGCCCTTAACAAACCTACACCTAATGCAGGAAACTGGGGCCAGGAAGATGGCTCAATGGGCCATATAGCAAACATGCTATATGCATACATACTTTGCTTGCAGGAACCATGGCGCAAACCCATATGTTCCCCCCAACACGACAAAAAAAAAAAAAGCACCGAGCCCAAAGTAGCCCCCACCACCCAAAACAAAAACAATAACAAGACACAGGGGGCTGGTCAAAACACAGAGAGCACAGCGCGTCACCATACACTGACTCAGGCTCTTCCTCTGGACAGGACAAGCTTTAACCCCGTTATCTCGTTTAACCCTGGAGATACAAGAGTTGTCACCATTTCAAGACCGTGAAACAGACTTAAATTAAGTGATTTTCCCAAGAACACCGCGTCGGTGGGTTTAACGCTCTAGGGAAAACGGGGTACCCACGCAAATGGTTACCCAAAGAGGGAATGATGGGTGGCCCGTGGGGGAAGGGTGGGGCACAGGAGAGCAGAAGCTCCGCTGCAGGGTCCTGCTGCGACCTCAGCAGCCCTCTCTGCACCACTTCATTGTCCCCATCCATGACACCTCGTTTGCGCTGCGCGCGGGAAGCTGGGGTGTGCCCCGCTGAGCTGGATGGGTTGGGGGGCGCACCTGGATTTCCTCGATCATGTCGGGGGTGAAGAGCTCCTGGTTCAGCAGATGGTCCCAGAGCGAATCTACTTGCAGTTCACTAACCAACTGTACCCGGCACCGCCGGAGGGTCTGCCGATCTGCTTCGTCCATCGCGGACTCAAGACAGCGGCGCTGGCAGCCGACCACTGCTTCCGGGCCTGAAGTCCTAGGGCCCCGCCCGGGCCTCCGGACCCGCCCCGGGGCCGGCCCCCGCGTTGCGCCCCGCCTCCGCAGCCACCCGCGCCCCCAGGCCCCGCCCCTGGGCGGGGTCACCGAGCCAATTCCCACCCGAATTGCCGCATCCGCACCTACGCCCCGCCCCCTAGTCACGCTCATTTCCCCGCCCCGTCCGTGACACGCCCCCTTCCCCGCCCCCGCGACAGGCCCACTTTCGCCTAGGAGTCTCGCCCGCCCCCAAGCACACTCCACTTATCTTAACTGAGCGGGAGAAACGCTGTAGTGGTTAAGGTACTTCCTTGAGCACCGATGGGTGTGACCTGAATACACCCTGTCCCCTCAAATTGTCTACCCCTCAACCCTACTAGTAGGAACAGCAGTGCATGCATGCTGTCTTGGTCCATTCTGCATCTAGTACCCCAATCCCCAGTAAGACAGTAAATGTTACGTTCATGTACCCCATCCTGCCTTCTCAAGAATGTCATCCAGCCAAGCCCAGCTTGTAAGATTTTGTTTGTTTGCTTGTTTGGGGGCCCACACCTGGTGGTGCTCAGGACTTACTCATGGCTCTGCACTCAGGGGATTCGGAGGAATCATATGTGACGGGGATCAAATCCACGTCACTGTGTGCAAGGAAAGTGCCCTACCCACTATACTATCTCTCTAGCTCCACAAGATCTTTCGATCCCTCTTTCTTCACTGCAATTCTATCACCTCCTACAAAGTGGGAGTGAAGGGGGGAGAGACCTCACAGAAGTCTTGTCTTCCAAACCCCCAGTTTATACAGTTCATTTCCATGTTTAAAAAACATCAATCCTGGCAGTCGGAGCAATAGTATAGCCGGTAGGACATTTATTTGCCTTGTACATGCTGATCAGGGTTGATACCCCGCAATCCATATGGTCCCTGGAGAACTACCAGGAGTAATTCCTGAGTTCAGAGTCAGGAGTAGCCCCTGAGCATCGCTGGGTGTCACCCAAAAAGTACTGCACTGTAGCACTGTCCTCCCGTTGATCATTGATTTGCTCGAGCGGGCACCAGTAATGTCTCCATTGTGAGACTTATTGTTACTGTTTTTGGCATATCAACTATGTCACAGGTAGCTTGCCAGGTTTTGCTGTTCGGGCGGGATACCCTTGATAGCTTGCCGGGATTTCTGAAAGGGGTGGAGGAATCGAACCCGGGTCGGCCGTGTGCAAGGCAAACGCCCTACCCACTGTGTGATAGCTCCAGCCCACCCAAAAAGCAAAAGAAAAAATTATGTACGTATATCGATCCTGTATATTAAACATTTGCCACCACTTCACACTGCATTTTTTCACTTAGCCCTTACTACAATCCTACTAGAAAACAATATTCTGTTCCTCTATCTTGCAGATGGGAGGCTAAGAGTCAAAGAAATGGACACCATTCTAGGAATCAGAGGAAGCAGTAAGTGGCAGAGGAAGGCCAAATTTAAACCAGAATCTGACTCTAAGTTCATCTTGGAAAATATTCTCTTGAGCAGCAAAGTTTTTACCCCATTTTTAACTGAATACAAGTATTCACTGTCATATCCTGTCATGCACAAAAAGCAAGACTATACAGGTAAAGAAAACAAACAAAAAAGCCTGACATTAGAGGACCAGAGAGATAGCTCAAAGGCTAGATCTCATGTTTTGCATACTGAATTGTGATTCCAACCTCAGAACAATGCACTGCCCCAGATTCGGGGAACCAAATGACAGCACCAAACTGGAAATAGCCCCCAGCATCTCAAGCAACAAAAACTGCCTTGCAGTTAGGAGCTTACATTCTATTGCAGGAAGACACAATAAACAACATAACTAGTGAGAGATCAAGGCAAGGATGTTTTTTAAAAAATAAGATTAAATAGCAACAGGAATGGGGAGGGGGTATAAGATCTCTTTATATCCCAAGGAACCTATCTCAGTGAAAGTCTACATTGTCCGGAATTGTTTTAACTGAATCACCATGAGCTATAGTTACAAAGTTGTTTATGACTGAGTTTCAGTTTCAGTGCTCAACTAAACATTCAGACTGAATGTTCCAACACTCATCCGCTTCACCAGTGTTTCATTTCCCACCCAATGTCCCCAGTTTCCCTCCAACCCACACAGCCGGACTCAATGAAAGACATTTGTTCTCTCTCTCTCTCTCTCTCTCTCTCTCTCTCTCTCTCTCTCTCTCTCTCTCTCTCTCTCTCTCTCTTTCTCTGTATGTGTGTGTGGCTTGCAATACTGTTACTGTGTTTCTGAAAGGGTATCATCTACATCACTTTACCTCCTTTCAGCATCCAATTTGTATCCACAGTGATAATTTCCAACTCTCATTGTCATAAGAGCATAAAGGTCCCTTCTCTAACTGCACTCCTCCTCCCCCTTTGTACCATGAACCTATCCTTGTGGCCCTGGTTTCTACTGTGAAAGTCTACTTGATTGACCTGTGACTTTCGTACACTATACTTCCCTTTCAGGAACAAAAGATAGGAACTAACACACTCTAGGACGTAACTTGCTTTTTGCTAAGTAGGACTGGTAAACCCTGGATTCTGGGCTGTGGACAGGGAAGTCCCTGTCCCTCTTCTGGGCCTCAGTATCCTATTCGTTTATGGAGGAGCTAGACTAGGAAGGATCCCTAAGGTCTCTTCCAACTCTGACGCTCTAAGATTCTATGAATAGGGTTAAAGAGAACAGGGACCAGAGATTGCTTCCCCATCCTAGCAACTGTTGTTAGACGAGGGGCATCTCTGACCGAGTGTAAACGCCTCCTTGGATCTGGGAGGTCTTTCCCACATCCCATCATGCAATGCGACTTTGCCTCGCTAGGAGGCACGCTTTGGCCTCTTTGGTCACGACTCTCCTTTTGGATCCAGCCACAGAGCGCGCCTCGTTGCTATAGCAACTGTGTCTGGTCCACGCGCCGACGGTACGCTGGAAGGGACAAAATAGATTCGCGAAGTCGAGGCCCTCGACCTGTGACGTTCGCGCCTTCGGTGCGCTGGCCCTTTAAGTATCACGTGACTGTTCTCCGGCTCCTTCCCTCCTATTTCTCCTCCCCAGGCCCTGACGATCCCTGGTGTGGACCGGAGACTCCAGGCTCAGCGGACTCACTGGAGCACGGACTCTGCAGTCACCGGTTAGGCCGGTGCCCTTCCTTGGTAACTCCTTCCTGGCGTGACGCGCGGAGCCACCGAGGTGGCGGGGCCGGGCTGCCTTAAAGATCTGTCAATTCCTCTGCGTTCCGGGTTCCCCCTGGGCCCTGGAGGAACCTGGAGCCATTGGGCCAGGCCCAGGGCTCTCGGGGGCCGGAGAGCTGTGACCTCCGGCGGGAGCTCGAGGCGGGGTGCTCAGACGTAGAGAGTGTGGCCCTGGGAGCGACCGCCTGGTCCAGGGGACTCTGTGGGCTGTAGCCTACCTGTTGGACTGGATTCTGCTGGCCCCGAGGCCAGCAGGGTCAGCGAAAACGCTTCACTGGCCCCCGCCTTTGCGCCCGCCTGCGGAAAGCGACTGGCGCGCTGGAACCAGGCAGTGCTTGCCCTGCGTGGTCGAGAGAACGTTTGATCACCGAGTGCCAGGTATCGATTGTTGACCGGCGCCCAGCAAATCCTTGCGTACGCCGGACTCCCGAGATCCTTGCAAGGTGCTCTCATTCGCCCCAGTTTGTGGATAGTTAGGTGGAAGCTCGGCACGTTTCAGTAACTGGTCCAAGGTCGCCTGCAGTGGAGGGCGATGCCCAGTCTCTGCCTGATTCCAGCGCCCGTCGTCGCTATGTCACTCTGAGCGCGCTCCCCGTATTGGCAGGGCCGATGTGAGTTGCCCTCATAAGGAGAAAGTTGGTTGGTTGAGGCTCCTGTTCCAGTCCTCCAGCGAGTCTAAACGTTGACCATGAGAGTCGCTGGTTTTAAAGGACTCCCCCCCCCCCACCTTAGACCCACTTAGGCAGCATTTAGACTTCCCTTGTCAAAGCCCGCTGCTACAGCTCAGCGCCCCCCCCCCCCCCCCATAAGGTGTCTCCTTAAACACTCACTTGAACCTTAAAACTTTCAGGTTTATGAGGAAGGGAGAGTTCATTCAAGAGGCTGCGCGGATGTCTCGTGTGGTGGAGGCCGGGTTTGGTCTCCAGCATGGCATAGTCTCCCAAGCAAGCAGCGCTGGTGGGCTACCTCACACTCGAGCACCACTGGGTGTGGCCCGAAAACCGAAAAATTAAGAGGTTTATGAGAAGTCCAAATAAATAGGTTTATGAGAAACCATGAAAACTCATTGTCAGGGACCGGAGAGATAGTACAGGAGTCCTGAGTCCCACCTGCCACGGCCCAAATTAAAAAAAAAAAAGAAAGAAAGAAGAAAAAGAAAGAAAACTCATTATGTTTTGCCACAGAGTTCTGGCTTGTGTATGTCAGTGCCAAGCCACACTACCATGTCCATTCATTAACCAACCAGTATTATTTCTGGACATATAATGAATGCAATAACTACACACACCAGAGACGGAGCTTTAACATTTGAAGACCAAACCTGATATATAGTCTTTGCATTTGTACTTCTTCATATGGAAAATGAAATGGAGTTTTGTGTGTGTGTGTGTGTGTGTGTGTGTGCATTTTCTCTCCTGAGGTCTCCATTTATAATGCTTACAATATTGCCAGTGGTTTTTTATAAAAAAAGACTTCTCAGGGGCAGGAGAAATGGTACAGCGAATCAGGTTCTTGCCTTGCTCTCAGCCCACCTGATTTCCATCCCAGGAACCCCATCTAGTTCCCAAATATAGCCAGGAATGATCCCTAAGTATCACTGGGTGTGGTCCACAAATAAGTAAATAATTTAATCAAATAACTTATTTTTCTGTTCAAATGTGGCGAGAAAGAATAGAATTGGGCCTAACTGCACAGGATTTTTTTGTTGTTTTTGAGAAGATTCACTTCCATATTTGTATAAATTTAACCCCCAAGAATATAACAGCTATTTGATTTTGTAATTTTGCACATAGAAAATCTTACTGTATCATTAATTTATTTAGTACTCAGGGAGGTATATATCTCTTAAGTCACATACTTTAAGTATAAGCTATTATTGCCAGAATTAGTGTAATAGTTCTGTAATAACCATGATTTCCCATCTATGTTTTGCCATATTCACTTATTATTTCTTCATCTCATTCATTTTCAATCATTTCTAAAGCTTTTCTAACCCATGGAGACTGGACGATTGCTGTTAATTCTGACTGCTCATCTTTTCATCGGATGTTCTTATTTGTGATATTCTAAAATAGCAGCAGGTTTGTTGATTTTAAAAGCTACAGTCAAATAGCTTGACACTTTTTCTGAAAAAATATCTTTTGTTGTTTTGTTTTGCATCTGTATATCTTTGACCTTTACCTAAAAAGCAAGACTGTTCAGGTTTCTACCGCTGACACTCACTGCCTCTTCAATCATTTCAGCCCTGGAAAGGAAGAGAAATGGAAGTGAAAAAGTTGAGCATTTCCTGGCAGTTCTTGATAGTTCTGGTTCTGATCCTGCAAAATCTGTCTGCGTTGGATTTTGACCCATACAGAATCCTAGGGGTGAGCCGAACAGCCAGTCAGGCCGATATTAAAAAGGCTTATAAGAAGCTCGCCCGGGAATGGTAGGTGAAACAAAGAAATAGCAGTTTAATATAAGCTAAGTAGTTTTAGCAAGAGAATGAAGCCTAATAAAAATTTTGTCTATTCTAATTCAATAAATTTACTATATATATGTCTGTAATATTTTATGTGATAGAGCTAATACTTATGGGGGGTCTTTTGGTTTGGGGTTTTTTTGTTCATTTGTTTGTTTGGTTTTTGGTTTTTTAGTTCGGTTTAGTTTGGTTTGGTTTGGGACCACACAAGGCTATGCTCAGATCTTACTCCTAGCTCTCTCTAGGTCTTGGTTAGTGTCTTAAGTCACTCTTGGGGGTCCTCTGGGACCATATGTGGTGCCAGAGATCAAACCTGGGTCAGCTGTGTACAAAGCAAGTGCCTTATCCCCGTACTATTTTTCTGACCCAACTTTTTTTTCTTATTTTTTAGTGATGAGATCTAAAACTTATATTGCTAGAAATCCTCCTTTAAGGAATTTTTTTTTACTTAGAGAATTGCCTTAGATACTCTTTGTATATTTAATGTCAAAGTATAGTAAAGTAACTTTAATTTAAGTATGTATATATCTACATATAATACACACACATATATACATGTACATATACATACATAAGGCTCAAGAGAAAGCTCAATGGGCTGAACATATGCTTTACATGTAAAAGGCCCAGGTTTAATGCTCAGCACCTCTCGGTCCCCAGAATTCCACCAGGAACAACCCTGGAGGCTACTTGAGTGGCCTCCTAACCCCAGAACTACCAGGTATGGCCCCCATTTTTTAAAAAATTTTTAATCATATAATCAATAAAAGATAAGTTGCCTGTCCCATGATGCTCAAGAATCTCATTGCTAAAGTAAACATTGTTTAGATTATACATTTTTAAGCTTTCAAAAGACAATTTTTTTTAAGAGTTAGAGATATGACTTAGACACATGACTTAACAGTAGAACAGTTTCCCTGAATTTGTGAGGCCCTGGATTGAATCCCTTGCACAAAAAGAGAAAAATACATATTTTTTTAGAATAAAAACCTTTGTCCTAATTTTAAAAAGATATTCAGGAACTGAGTATATTACTTGTAAAATGCACTTTATAGAAAAATCATAATTCTATTACAAATATTATATTTGCTTGAGATGATGAAAGTACATTAGCAAGAAAACAATAATTTTAAAATGTCACTGTCCTCCCGTTGTTCATCGATTTGCTTGAGCGGGCCCAGTAATGGCTCCAGTTTTTTGAGACTTGTTACTGTGTTTGGCATATCGAATACGTCGCGGGTAGCTTGCCAGGCTTTGCTGCGCGGGTGAGATACTCTCGGTAGCTTGCCGGGCTCTCCGAGAGGGGCGGAGGAATCGAATCCGGCTGTATCTTAGACAGATATGGTCAACTTCTTCTTCCACTGCTGGAACACGCCTAAGAAGTAGAAGTGTTGGAGGAGCTAAAGCCATAGTACAGTGGGGAGAGTACTTGCCTTACATGCAGCTGACCCAGGTTCATTCCCCATCATCCCATGTGGTCCCCCGAGCACTGCCAGGAGTAGTTCCTGAATGCAGAAACAGGAGTAACCCCTGAGCACTGCTGGGTATGCGTCCCCACCCCCCCCCAAAAAAAAAAGGCAGAAGTGTTGAATTATAAAGCAGGAAGTGGGTAGTGGCAGGAGCCAGGTGGAAAAACCACCAGTGGATCAATCATATGGAATCAAAGGAAGGTTTGGGGTGGGCTTTGTCACTGAGCACCATTTAGACCTTCTTATTACTTGATATAGGGGGATATCACTGTCCTTGTTTTATGGGCAAGGAAGCCTATGTTCAGTGTTGTTCAGTTTGTATTACCTCTGGGTTCCATAGTTTGGCCTTCTGCACCAACAGGTAGTTTAACATTGTTTTGCTTTTCAGTCACTGACGAGTAGGGCAGAAGTAAGTGAGTGGGTTAGTGTTTGGGTTTGGAGGCTTTTGTGTAAGAGGAGAGATGCCACGGGCAGATAACGCTGTGCACCCAGTACTGCCAAAGGCCTCCTCCCAATAGAGAGGGCTCTGAGTGGTACACGCTGCTGTGGTGAAGGTAAATGTAGCTTAGACTATAATACTTGGTGTATATAATATTGGATAGGGCCAGTATTTGAATATGACCACATTCATGTCATAAAAAGTCAAAATTTATTACTAAAAATACTTATTATGGGGCCAGAGCAATAGTTTAGCAAGTAGGGCTTTTGCTTTGCATGTAGCTGACGCTGATTCTAGCCCAGCCACCACATATAGTCCCCCAAGCACTGCCATGAGTGATCCCTGAGCCCAGGACCAGGAGTAAGTTCTGAACAGCAAAGTGTGGCCCAGAAACCAAATTGTAGCACTGTCACTGTCCTCCCATTATTCATCAATTTGCTCAAGCGGTTACCAGTAATGACTCCATTGTGAGACTTGTTACTGTTTTTGGCATATTGAATATGTCACAGGTAGCTTGCCAGGCTTTGCCGTGCGGGTGTGGTACTCTCAGTAGTTTGCCAGGCTCTCCAAGAGGGACGGAAGAATCGAAGCCGGGTCAGTTGAGTGCAAAGCAAATGCCCTACTCGCTGTCCTATCGCCAAATTAAAATAATAAAAATACTATTTATGGGTGACCTCTTTCAGGGATACTCTTTAGAGTCAGGTTGCTTTGTGTGACTTTTCAAGCCCTTGTCTCTTTATATGTGTAGAAAAATATAGGAATCTACAATTTAAGTAGCAACATTCTTTGGGCAAAGTATGACTTTTGATATTTTCAAGACTACAATGAATGGGCGGAATTAATATGTAGCACCTATTAAAATACAGCTTAAGTCTTTTCTGTCTTCCAGAACTGAAAAGGGTTTTAATATTAATTGAGTCATGTGCTTCTCTTCCTTAATTAGGTGGTCTCTAAGTAATTCATCACAATAGAAATTAAAAGAGTTGATCCAATGGAAATCTAAGATTTCACTTTACCTTCCTGTTTTCACTGTTCTGATTTTTCTACCTTTCTGGCAGTGTTTTTATCCCCCAAATAGTTTGCTTTACCTCAATGTTTTCATATGAAAATGGTAGTTCACAGTTTGGCTTTTTTAGAACGAGCTTGGGAAGGGAGTAGTTAATTGTGCAACTGGATTTGTAATCTTCTACTGTGTTTTACTTAATAGTGTTTCTTAGGAGCCAGAGTGATAATACAACGGGTAGTCATTTGCCTTGCACACACCTGACCCAGGTTCTATCCTCAGCATCCCATATGGTTCCACAGCACCGCTGGGAATAATTTCTGAGTGCAGAGGTGCACTGCCAGGTGTTGCCCAAAACCCCCCTTCAAAAAAAATAAAAGTGTTTCTTAGATTTCTCAAAAGCTCTTCATGTAAAAGTTTTCTCCCAATAACTATGTTGTATCATAAATTATTTTCTTTCCTCATCTACATTGGGCTTGGAGCGATAGCACAGCGGTAGGGCGTTTGCCTTGCACGCAGCCAACATGGCCGACCCGAGTTCGATTCCTCCACCCCTCTCGGAGAGCCCAGCAAGCTACCGAGAGTATCTTGCCCGCACGGCAGAGCCTGGCAAGCTCCCCGTGACATGTTCAATATGCCAAACACAGTAACAACAAAGTCTCCAATGGAGACGTTACTGGGCCCACTCGAGCAAATCGATGATCAACGGGAGGGCCTTTACATCTACATTGGCAAATAAACAACTCCAGACCAAGGATGTTTCTCAGTAGCAGAATGTCTGCTTCACATACAGGAGGCCCTGGGTTCAGTCCCTGGCACCAAAATAAATATAAACAACGCCTCATATTTCTGGAAACGGTATCTTAAAAGTTGATTTGAGGATCAGAGAAAGAGTTCAACGGGTTGGAATTCATGTTTTGCATATAGGAGACCCAGGTTCTAGTCCCAGCATCATAGACCCCCCCTCCCCCACCCCCAGCCTGAACACCACCAAAAACACAAAAAACAGCAGCAGCAAAAGTTAATTGGAAATAAATAGGGGTAGCACGCTCAGGGACCTGAAGGGTAAAGTGGGTTGTAAACTTTACCTTTTACTTTTGTTTCCAATATTCTTTAGAGGAGTAGGAGGGTCTGGACTCAAATACAGTCTTGTGCTTGTAGAGCAATGTGCCCTGCCTCTCAGCTACATCCCCAGCTCCTCTGCCATCATTTTATTTCCAACAGCCAGTAGCAGTGAAGCTTAGTATTTCCTTCACTTTGGGCGGTTTATTTTGTTGGTTGGTTTGGTTTTGGAGCCCCACCCAGCAATGCTCAGGGCTTATTCCTGGCTCTACACTTAGGAATTAGGCCTGGCAGTGTTCGGGAAACCATATGGAATGCTGGGGGTCTAACCCCTTACCTGTTGTACTATGACTCTGGCCCTCTTCACTTTGACATTTTAAAGGAGATTTATGATGTTGCAGTTTGTGAATTGCACTCAAAATAGCATTGGAGGGTACTTTCTTAGAGCTGCATTTCTCCTTTTTAAAATGTTTTCAGCTACGAGATATCCTCCTGCAATTAGGAAAAGTTTTCTTATAGAGCTGAAACTGCCTTGTGATTCCCTCTTATTCTCACCTTGGTTTTCTCTGCTACAGGGTCTGTAAGGGTTAGTCTGTTGCTCTCAGGACTCTCCACTCTTTGCTCCGTCTCCATAAAAGCCTCTTCCGAACTTTTCTTCCCCTATAGAGTTCTGAGTGCAAATCTTCATTTGTGAAATTGAATAATTTTTATCATCTCAGCCTTTGGCCTAAGTTTGAATATAGAAATACATTTTTTGTTTTTGTCACCCAGAAACATGCTTTGCAATCATCATCTTGTTTCTTTAAGTCATTCTATTTTCTTTATATCTAGCTGTGGCGTTTTTTTTTTTCTCCCGCCCACTAATACTTAACAAGGATTAACTAGTTAAGTGAGAAATCATGTCTAAACTCAACAGCCAACCATTTGGAGTTACATTATTTTTAGAGAAATTAGGTTATATGCCATAATTCATTCAGATATGTTTCTACTAGAGTAAGTTGGTCAAATATTAAATTATTTTTATGTTGGTGTACTTGGCACTATTTGTGTGGTCATTTGCTTCTTACTGGGTTGTTTCTGCTGAAACTTTGCTAGAGGAAATTTCCCAGAAGTTAAAAGAAGTCATTACATAAAAATTACATAAAAATAGGGGTTGGAATGATAGTACAGTGGGTAAGCCACTTGCCTTGTACATAGCCAGCTTGGGTTTGATCTCTAGCATTCCATATGATCCCTGAGCACCATCCAATGTGGCCCTAAGACCAAAAATAAATAAAAATAAGCTTTGTGATGGTCTTCATAAAATGAATATCGAAGTAACAATGAATGTAAAGCATTTATTTTATCAGACGCTAATGGGTTCTAAGAAAATAAAACCCAGCCCCTGTTTTCTAGTCTTCAAACTCCCCAAAAACTGAAGTTGATATCGTCATTTTCATTTTCTCACAATTTCAAAGCATATGACTTGAAATTTTTCTTTCGTGGGTAAAAAGCAATCACGGGCAGAATGGGCTATCAGAGTACATATGAAAACTACAGTGTTCTCATTTCAGTGTCAGTAGCAAGATGCATGGTTGTCACTAAACAAATATGTAGGGCATCCTATACCCTGTTTCCAGTGTCTGCTGAGTTATCAGAAGGAATACTTGCATTGAAAGTATTCTAATGTTGGGATGAGATGCTGCCATGGGGAATGAAAGTGGGTTCTTGATAGGGGCCTTGAGCCATGAGCCAGCACTCATTGTTCAGGAGCAATAGAAATATCCAATATCCCCATTCCCTCCCCCCCACCCTTTCCTTAATGAGATGCTGCAGTACTCTCTGGTACTTCTAAGTGCTTTAGGAATAACTGCTGGTTTCAGAGTTTCCATGTTGTGGTTGTTATCGTGTGAAGTAACCCATTGCTGCTATGTTTATTTTTAAGACACTTCAATTAAATGGCCTTCCATTTGCCTCTGATATAGTGAATTGTGTGCAAAAGGTTGTTAGCTAACCATGTGTACAGCATGAAATCCATTCTCACTGCCTGCCTATTTTTGTTTCAGGCACCCTGACAAAAACAAGGATCCTGGAGCAGAAGACAAGTTCATTCAAATTAGCAAAGCTTATGAGGTATCATATCAAACTTTGTGTTATGTCCCTTAGCTCTTAGAAAATACTCCCCACTGCCCCCTGTACCCCGCCCCCCAGGAGATTAGTACTGTAAAGTTATCTTTGATGTCCTTAATTCAGCTTCTAGGTGAGGGGAAGGGCCGGGAAAGAACATATTTGGCCACATCCAATATATTGAAAGTAGCATCGGAACATTTTATTCTTTAAAAAAAAAAACTGGTCTATATTAAAGTGTTCAAATTAGAATTACAGATTGACCGCCAATGTTTGTCTCTGTTTCCTTATTTAGAAATTTACATGCTCACTCTGGGAGCACTAAATAATCACAGACCCATTTGCCTGTGGTTCCTAAAATGACACAAGGTTCCAAATACATTTGGAAAAGATTTTCAGTGGTTTTTTTTAACATCTCTGCTTATGTAAATTAGCCTAGAATGTGCATCAGAGCTAAGTGCATGCTTCCTGATTTGCGTAGGCAGCGCCCTTCCCTGACTTGCCATCGTAATACAGGTTCTCACATTTTAGACTTAAAAGTTCCTTCTAAGTGAAACCAAAGTCAGCTCACATAAGCTTCAAGTGTTCACAGCTTTAATAGCTTGCCTTAAATTATTCCATGTTATGACTGAGCCATTTTCTTGTGGTTGTACCCTAATGAGCAACATTGTTAAGTTTTGTTTTACTGCTATGTTTAGCATTATTATAGCTCAGAATCTTTTCACCAACATGAGTATTAGTGTCAGAATGACTGAAGTATTTTGGATTTGAGCTGCATAATGAATGTGTTGAGTGAAGATTTCCTGGCATGACGAGTGACTACGTTTAGAATATATAATCATGTTGTGATCTTTATATTTTCTTACTTTGTCTTCCATACTGTTTGCAGGAAAGTCTTGAAAAGTGATTTTTCTCTTTCCTTTTATAGAGTTCTTTTTTTCCCTCCTTTCTTTATAGATTCTTTCCAATGAAGAGAAGAGATCAAATTATGATCACTATGGTGATGCCGGAGATAACCAGGGCTACCAGAAACAACAACAGCAGCGAGAGTATCGCTTTCGTCATTTCCATGAAAATTTTTATTTTGATGAGTCATTTTTTAATTTCCCTTTTAACTCTGAGCGGCGGGATTCAAGTGACGAAAAGTATTTGTTGCACTTTTACCATTACGTGAACGAAGTGGTTCCAGATAGCTTCAAGAAGCCCTACCTCATTAAGATCACCTCTGATTGGTGCTTTAGCTGTATCCACATCGAGCCCGTTTGGAAAGAAGTGGTTCAGGAACTGGAAGGATTGGGTAAGATAATTCTATTCATTGGAACATGTATAGGAGAATGTGACTTTCATATCTTAAATCTTCTGGGCTGCTGGAGAGAGGCATCGGTTAATATAATTTCTAATAATATAATATAATGTAATATAATATTATCGCAAGTTCCTGGTGATATGTTTCTTGGGGACACATTTTCACATAGGAAAAATATAAAAACCACTTGCTTTTGGCATTACTAATTTGTTGGGTGCTTAATACACAGGAGAAGCTTTAAAAATTATTTGTTTAACAAGGCAGTCTTCCTGCAGCATGTGTTTTGGTTGCTGTTGGGTTTTGGTTGTTGTTGTTGTTGTTTTTTCTTTTCCTTTTGGTTATGGACTTGGCAGTGCTCAGGGGCTACTTCTAACTCTCCGAGTAGTGCTCATGGGACCATGTGGTGCTGACATGTCCTCTCTGAGTATGCTCAGGTCTCACCCTCTCCACAGCCTAATGGATTCTTTAACACAGTGACACCAGCCCATAGCACCTGAGGTTTACATTTGGGTGTGGCTTAATTCGAACAAGTTGCCGTCCAAATTCTGAAGTACAAGGATTTAGGTCTTCAAGCTGTGAATGCTGTAAGGAGGACGAAATACAATTTAGACCTGAGCTTTGTAAACTTTCCACTTGTGACCCCTTTTCACCAAAGATATTTTTGCATGACTGTGGGTATATGAAGTAGGTACATAATGTACTGACTATAAATTATGAAATCATTTTAAAACACAGTTTAACATTTTCTTTGCAACTCCCCACATTCAGTTACATGACCCTACATGGGTTCGAAATCCACAGTGTAAGAAGCCAGGATTTAGGCATGACCTGCTACTGGTTGTAATTTCCTGTTCTCAAATAGCCTTTCCTTTGTTCAGAGTTAATACTTAGTGCTGGAAAAGTATTAGAAATCCAGGGAGGCTATTTATTTTAATAAATCCATCACAGTTAGAATTGCTGAATTAAATTTGGAGAGAATATGGCTTTAAAAAGCATCAGTTTGGTTGGAGAGATAGTACAGAGGATAGGACGCTTGCCTTGCATGCCAGCCTGGGTCAACCCAGCCCTGCCAAGAGTGATCTCTGAGTACAGAGCCAGGAGTAAGTCCTTAGCACAGCAGGCTGTGGCCCCCAAACCAAATAGTAATAATAATAATAGTAATAATTTAAAAAATAAAAGGCATCAACTAATTTTTTTTTTCTTTTTGGGTCACACCTGGCAATGCACAGGGGTTACTCCTGGCTCTGCACTCAGGAGTTACTCCTGGCGGTGCCCAGGGGACTATATGGGATGCTGGGAATCGAACCCGGGTTGACCGCATGCAAGGCAAACGCCCTACCAGCTTTGCTATCGCTCCAGCCCCACTAATTTCTTAAAACATGTTTTTCCACCTTCAGATTTATAAAGGATGGAGGGTTGGTCTGATCCTTTACATTTGATGGGGTTAGTGGCTACTCACTGCCGGTACATAATGACTGAATGGAAGGTTGAAAACAGATGGAAGCCCCTGGATTGAACATTTCTCCATCACAAAACATAACTCTACCAAGCCATGCTGGTAGCTTAAAAAAATATAACCTCAGTAGTAGCTGATGTCAACACCCAGTAGCAGAAAATAAGCATTAAATCACCTGATTTCAGTAATGCATCTCCATCAAAGTCCAATGAGAATCTCCACTAGATCTGTTGGCCACACATTGCAATATGGCATGGCACTGTGGTAATGGCTCCGGCCACCAGCTTCCAAGTTGGATAGACCAGAGTTCCCATATCACTTACTATCTTTGTGTCCTTGGTCAGATTACTTAACCCAAATTTCTACATCTCTAAAATAGCTGTCATATCAAATTAACTGGATTGTCACTGTCACTGTCCTCCCGTTGTTCATCGATTTGCTCTAGCGGGCCCAGTAACTTCTCCATTATGAGACTCGTTGTTACTGTGTTTGGCATATCGAATATCGAATACACCATGGGGGGCTTGCCAGGCTTTGCCGTGCAGGCGAGATACTCTCGGTAGCTTGCCGGGCTCTCTGAGAGGGGCGGAGGAATCGAACTCAGGTCGGCCACGTTGGCTGCGCGCAAGGCAAATGCCCTACCCACTGTGCTATCGAATATTAAATTTTTTAAATGCGTATTAAGTACTGACATATATGAAACACCTAGTAAACTTCAGATGATTTCTGATGATTGGCTTTCCAGGTTTACCCAAGTAAACTTTTTTTGTTTTATTTTTGGGCCACACGTGACTGTGCTCAGGGCAGACTCCAGGCTCTATGCTCAAAGATCACTCCTGGCAGGCTTGGGGAACAGTATTGGGTGCTGGGGATCAAACCCAGGTCCGCTGCATGCAAAGCAAATACCCTACCTGCTGTTACCATTAAATGGCTAATGGAATGGACTAAACAAAAAACACTTCAGTAAATGCGTGAAAATTGTTGTATCTCAGCATGAGGACATTAAATCCTTGTCTGAGGGTTTACTAAGTTGCTGTTGCTACTTGAGCCCTCTGTGTTAATGTTTTTGTTAATCAAGCTTAGTTGGCATCTACATTACATTCCCACCCAATCTGGTGTGCTAGTACTGGGATGTTAGTATTGTAGAGTTTGGAGATGTCGTGCAACCTCAAATGCAGCCACACACTCCAGAAAACCTAGAATATTTAACTGGGCAGCGAGCGTACTTGGCAGTGGAGGTGGATCATGGGTGTGGTTGTTGGGCCTTCCAGAAGTACGGGGGTGGGAAGGTTACCCACCCCAACTCTGAAAAGGCCCAAAGTTTTCAGTCAAAAAATTCCCAGTGTACCTGAAATCTTTGGCAGATGGGCATCTCTGTGGAGCTTAGTCATGAGGCAGTGGAGTCCAGCCATAGGCATGGTGGCAGCTGCCTCGCCCTCAGCACGGTGGGAACTTGGCTCACCCCCCTCCTGCGATTACATCAGAGTCCTCAGCTGGTGCTGGTATATCTGAGAAATTTTTTTTAATTTAATTTTTATTAGTGAAACGCCATGAGGTACAGTTGTAGACTTACAAATTTTTACAAATATCTGAGAAATTTTTGCCGCAAGTTGATCTCATTTGTTCTTTAATCATGAGTTTCTGAAGCAGGCCTGATAAGATGAACTTAGATAGCAGCAGCAGTGGGGTGTGGGTGTCCAAAATAAACTTTTTGAAAGCACCTATTTTATAAACTACTTCCTAAACTCTTTCTTAAGGATATTGGTCAACTTTCTTCAACTCATTCTCAAGCACTGACCTCTGACGTCTTTTAGCCAAGTCTTGAAAGATGATTAGAAACTGGGCCAGAAACAGAAAAGTGACATTGTCGGATAGGAAACATTGCAAGCAGGGAAGCATGGCGCACCTTCATGGGAGATAGCAGCAGGCCATGAGGCGGCCGTATGCAAGGAACAAAGGCGAAGAACATCCTGGGAGTTAAGGTGCATAATAAAGTCCAAGCCGCACTCTATTTGACTGGTTGATTGGGAGGTGTGGATTTGGGGCCGCACAGTAGCGTGGTGGAGCGCTTGGGCTACTCCTGGCTCTGTTCCCCGGGGTCACTCTTGGTGGTATGCAGAGATGGTGTGATGCCAAGGATCAAAGTGATCCACATGCAGGGCAGCGCCTTAACCCATGTACTGGCCCTGTACTTTATTTTACATGTGTAATGAAACTCAGGAGAGTTTTATGGAGAGCAGTGATAGGATCATAGCTATACTCTGTTCCAAGTCATAGTCAGGAGGCCCAGCACACCCTCCCAACAGTTCTTGGGCAATTGGGCTGGCAATTGCAAATGCAAGTGCTACAGGGGCCCTGCAGTGGAGGGGATTACCCAGGCCACACCTGGTGCTGCTTGGGGCCTCTAAGACTCCACCTGGTGATACTTAGGGGACCATGTAGTGCCAGAGTTCAAGCCAGGGTGAACACATACAAGATATTCACCTTAGTCCCTGTACTTTCTCTCCAACCTCTCCTCTGATAATTGTGACCATGGGACTGTCAGGGTCAACACAGCACATGGTTTGAATTCTTGGCCTCACGCTTGCCAGGCACATACTTCAAGCTGCTGAGCCATCTCCCAAGCCTCCCAGTTTACATTGTAGAAAGCTCATTGTTAAATCTGAGTATATGACAGATTGAAGGGGTGAGGTAAGAATAGAAGCGGGGGGCAGGTAGTGGTGGAGCATTTGGCTTGCATGGTGAGACCCTGTGTTCCAGCCCAACATTGGAGCACTGGAGCACTGTACTCCCATTGTTCATCGATTTTCTCGAGCGGGCCCAGTAATGTCTCCATTTTGAGACTTGTTACTGTGTTTGGCATAAGAAAAAAAAGGAAGAGAAAAAGAAGCAGGTAGGTTACTTTGCCCGAGGACGACAGCCTTTCCCCTGAACTAGGGCAGAAGGAGCAGAGAAAGATGAACACGCATAAGCTATTCCAGCACTAAAACTCTGACAGTCTAGAGGGTCCTTGGCCCTGAAAATCATGTGAATATGAGAAACAAGAAAAGAGAACATCAGCAGTGACTTTGCAGCCTGTTTTCGGGGTGGACAGTGAGTACCAGAAGGGTTGTATTTGAGAAATGGTTCTAAGTAATAATTATAGAGCACCTCCAACTGCACATAGTTCGTGTGCCTCGACCCAGAACGCAAACCTTGGTGAACACCAAAACCCGATGTGGGACCTTTGGGAAGCACCCTAGCCAGATAGGTGTGCAAACCCAGGTCATGGCAACAACATCAACAAAGGGGAGGTGGTGGGGGGGGTCATAAAAATAAATGCAGTTTGGGCATTCTGAATGTGATGATTTAAGAGTAATAAGACAAGTATAACAATAACAGTAGCCTGTGTGTGACATATCCCGTTAAACAACACCCTTTGAGGAAGGTGCCATTGTCGCCCCCTGCCACAGGAGTCTGGCACACTCTCAGGTCCCGGTTAGTCCCACAACTGGTATTTGGCATAACTGGGACTCCACTCAGGAGCCTGACTCTG